TTATCCTTTTAGTTAATGACAAATTGCACTAAAAGAAAAACTTATACTGTAAAAAAAAACCATTGCTTTAGGCCTACAAACATTTAAAAAAATATCGATACAATGACCTAAATTTTCACAGTGAGAAAAAAGTGAAAGTCAAAAGTTGTAAAATATCTCTGAAAAAAATTGTTAAACAGACAAGTATGCTTAACACCTCACCGGCTAGTTAACCAGTCAACATATCCTCTCAATTTATTATGGCAAATATTTACTGTTATTCGCCCGTATTTTTATGTCTACAAGCTGACAAACTAATACAACAACAGAATATCCGATGACTGTCAATTGGTACAAAGCGTTTTTGTTTGCAATGCCTTAGAAGCTGCCAACAGCTTTTCCTTTTTCACTACAGTCATCAGTATAAATCCTTGGAATCTTATAAAGAAATATTTCACCGATAGACGCTGTGAGAAAACTTGAACCTAAGTCAAACGAATACTCCGATGAATCGATCTTATAGACAAGCCGAATTGTTAGCACTGGTTTGCTGAGAAGAAGCACTCCTGTAAGATGATGCTTACATTTTCCTTTTCGCTTTTTACGGAAGCCGACGAATTTGCTTTATTGGTAATACCGTACTGATCTTCAAATGCTGCTCGATCTTCATCAACTATCTGAAAAGAAGCTTCTATCCAAAACACTATTAACTAAAATCAATATTTTTTTAAGATAACAAATGAAAAAGTAGCCTTGCCTCCTTCCCATTAAAATAAGCGTTTTCTCACAGGTAAACCAACAAAAACACGTTGATTTGTCAGCACATTAAAATAGAAAACCGAACCAAAAAAAAACATTGTAAAATATCAAGAAAATTCTCAACTAACATAGAATTCCTATATTAAAATGGAAATAACTGCTAATTTCTGAAGTTCAAAAAAAGATTAACGATTATTGGTGCTAAGAAAATCTTGCTGATGTTGCAAAAGTTTCAACACACTAAATGGCAGCAATTCTCAACAAAAACAAAAGCTCTGAGACTTTCTTTAAATACCTGTGCGTCTTATAAATCCTGTTAAGCTTCAAAAACAGTATTTCTAGCTCCAGTTTTGAACTCCACTATTGTTAAAGCAAAAAAAATTATTCAAAAACAGTCGTAACCAAAATAAATGATAGATAACGAGTTACAGTTAGGTTAAAACTCTTTAATGCTTTACTAAAAACCGTAGCTGAACAGCACTGACCAGTTCAATAAATTGCCAACTTAGCAACAAAGGCAATTTTTATAAGAATTCCATGAAAGACAGATTTCATACTATACAGTACCCTTATTAGTGCCATTTGCGTCTTAATTAGTAACAAGTACAAATCTGATATTAAATTACAAGGTGGAAAAATCCAAGTTTGAGACACCGAGACTCTTCAAAACTGACGAAATACCCATACGACAACCTACAGTCGTTGTGCTTGCAAAATTATTTGATACATATTCTTTTTCAGTGCATACGTAAATACTGGTATTTTCTTTAGAGTTTTCCTACAGCTAATTCATTTTGAATTAGAATTTATCTGTTCAAAGCAGTAGCAGAAGCAACCAACATATCTGACAGACAGAAAAGGTAAGACAATTTTTTCAACCCCATTTTGTCGACTCAAAGCAATTCAACAACACTCTGAACAAATAAAATTTTTTTAACGATAAAGAACCTTTGATTCATATAAAGCCGAAAATTATATCTTCGTCCAATCTTCTGATGTCGTTGGCTACAGTTGAATAAAAAAGAGTTAACAACTTTAAACGGCCTAGCTGTTCTTGTTGAGCACTGAACTGAACAAAAAAACTTTTCCAAATTGCACAAAAATAAACTGATCCAAATGTACTAAGCTACCTGCTATTAGGAGAGCAGCATTTTATTTATCAAGAAATTTTGTCCTTCCGAGTTGAACTGTAATATAGGTAAGGAAGTAATGACATTTAATTAATATACAAAGAAGAAACAGACAATTATTCAGAAACAATAACTTGCAAAAGTAGAACTCCTGTTTTTTTCTGGAAAAACTTTAAACTTGTTCAAAATTCAAAGACACTGAAGTCAGTCTATGGTGATATACTACAGAACAAAGAAGCTGATCAATCGTCCTGTTTCAACAACAAGTTCCT